CCCACTCCCCCTCTGCAAGGTATGTCCAGTTGTCTAGAGATGGGCATTGGGTCTCCATCGCGCGCCACCCTCATTGACAAGGATATGACTTTTCTCCCCGCCTTTGTTACAGATTAACTTAAAATAGGGGGGGACCCCTGGTGGCCGAGTGGTTACAAGTTAGTGGGGGAACCTCAAAGTGAGTGAGCTTTAGGAAGCCAGCCGCTGCTCCTCAGGAAGATGGAGTGGTAAAGAGTTGCACGCTCTGAAACTCCCGAGAGCAGGTTTACCTTGGGCCACTGTGAGCTGGAATTCATTGAGTTAGGTTTTTGGTTTGTGGCATCATGGTTATGCTTTGGATCACTAACCACCAGCAGTTCAAAACCATAAGCCCACTACTCAGGAAAATGATGAGGCGTTTACAGTCTCCGAAACTCACGTGGGGACTTCTACTCCGCCGTATGGACTGCTGAGTGAGAATCAACTCAATGGTTATGTGTTCTGGAGTTTGGGAATGTAACATTAGGGCAAATATGATGCTTGTTTTAAAAGGAACCAGAGCTTCAGGACATAATCTAAATTATCCGTTCATGACAACCTGCAGCTTTAGAAATATACTAATGATGTTGCAATGATGATAGCTGTCATCTTATAAACCTGAATTGTGTCTTTGAGATACATTGTCACAAATAATCGACAAGGCTGTTACCCTTTGTCATTGAGTCCAATCCATCCAGGGTGGCCCTGTAGGACAGAGCAGAAGTGCTCCATGTGTTTTTTCAAGGCGGTCTCTCTGTGGAATCTGACTGCGTCTCTTTCTCCCATGGAGTGGCTATTTGGTGCAAACGGGTTTAACCTCTGCACGGGTTTAACCTCTGCAATCCCAGAGCTCCTATTTCAGCAATCTTAAACTCCCCCCACCCTTCTTTCCTCAGCAGCTTCTAACTCTTTTCTACTTTGCCTTTTCATCCTCATTCAAATAAGACTAGTCTCTCCTTAAAAAATAACATTAAATACATAAGTGAAAGATACAACAAACAACAATAATCAACTTTCTGCTCCTTTACCTAGGAAAATCCCGCAAGAGTTGGCTCTCCCCCCACATAAAGTCTGCATCATTAATTGACCTCTCAACATGGTCCAATTGGTTTCCACTCTACTCAGCAAAGGTAACATCTCCAAATTAAGAGACGCAATGAGCTTTCTGAAGATGATTTTTCTTGATTATCCTTTATAACTCCCTCTGCCTTTGGCATTTTTCGGACCACATGCTTCTCGCACTCTTCAATCTGCAACTTTGTTCCTCCTACTCAGCCTCCGCTGACAAATGACTTACAGCTTTATCATCGACTTCTCGTTCCACCTTCCTCTCAGCCTCTACCCATGAAGTGTTAGTAAAATGGCTATTTCTGTGATCATAGTTACAGCGTGGTCTCCTATCACTGGCCTTTCCTTGATTAACAGTCCCATATTTTAAGCTCTGTATGCAAATCTGACACAGAGTTGTTAGAAAATGTTTCCTGAATACATAAGTGAATAATTTGATGGTCTATGATTTTAACTACTTTTAAAAAGTCTATAACTTAACATTGGGGGTTGACTCCAAGAAGCACATTATTTACATGCTGCAAGGTCTCTCTTGTTTAACAAGTTCCTATGTAGAGTTCTCTAGTAATTTAGAAAACACGTGAACTACTATTTCAAATAAATATATAAGACTGTCTGAGGCAAATATTTAAAATGATCTATTCTCATAGATCTGTTAAGCACAGAGAAAGGAAGAAGCTTTCCTTTCTCTTGTTTGATGATTCTGTCAGCTAAGGGTGATGTCTTATCTCTCATTTGCTTATACTTAACTTAGTATCTTGTATGTACAAAGGGGTTTCACAAAGCTTGCGGACAAAGGAAATGAAAGATAATGGAATAGTGTACTTTCAACATGGAGGAGGAGGAGCATGAAGGGGTAGCAGGAGGAAGTAAGTAGGGCTGCTCTGACATGACCTTTTGACTTGGGATAGGATAATATTTGCACTAACACTTCTGATTGTATCCCTTGCTTGGACTCTTCTGGAAGAGGGTCTCTATTATTCCTCGTTTTAATCTGTCGAATAACTAAAGAAGTACCACGCACTGCTGCTAGAGTTACTTCTTCCAAATGTGAGTCGTTTGATAGAAGCGTGATAGAACCCTAGGATTGCGAGCCTCTGCACTTTATTTTTCTTTTGTGGGTCTTCTCTTTCTTCTTTTCCTTGCTTCACCCAACTATGTAGTTTTCAAATGTAGTCCCTAAGTCAATATCATCACCAGTCTCTCTGGACTCTTGTACAGAATGCAAATTGTTCTGCTCTTTACTGACCTCCTGAATCAGAAACTCTATAGGGTCCTTTAAGCCACTTTAACAAGTTTTTTTTTTTTCTTACCAAGTTCTTTCTGTGATTCTTAAGTCAGATAAAGTTTGAGAGAAGATCAAAGAAACCTCTGTGCTCTTTAGAACCAGTCAGAACACACTGCCATTGAAGGGTTCCAATCACAGCGACCCTTAAGCGCAGATTAGAACTGGTCCTTAGACTGACCAGGACTACGAACCTTTGTAGGAGAGGACTGTCTCGTGATTCTCCTGGTGAGTGGCTGGTGGTTTGGAAATTTTCACCTTGTATTAGCAGCTACCACATCCTCTCTAGTCTGTGGGCCTCCATTCTAGTCCCATATCATTTCAGGCAACTTCTTTTTTTCTTCATCTTCATTTTAGCCAACTTCACAAAAAATTGTTTTAGCATTTGCCATATTGTATTGTGGTTAGTTATTTTTACATTTTTATTTCCTTGCTTCTTATGCATTTATGTCCAGCACACACTGAAACCACACTGAAATTTTGCTGACAGGGTGAAGTAATCAGTGAATGTTTTCCCAAGTACTCTGAGAACTGAGTATTTATTGAGATTTGGGCTTTATATTGGAGCCCCAGTGGCATAGTGGTTATGAGTTGGGCCTCATCCACAAGGTCTGAAGTTCAAAATCACTAGTCGCTCCATGGGAGAAAGTCTGAGCTTTCTATTCCTGTAAACCAGTGTTTCTCAACCTTCCTAATGTGGCGATCCTTTAATACAGTTCCTCATGTTGTGGTGACCCCAACCATAAAATTATTATCATTGCTAACTTCATAACTGTAATTTTGCTACTATTATGAATCGTAATGTAAATGTCTGATATGCAGGATATATTTTCATGGTTACAAATTGAACATAATTAAAGCATAGTGATGAATCACAAAACATATGTAATTATATATTGTGAAATATTTATGTGTTTTCTGATGGTCTTAGGCAACCCATGTGAAAAGGTCGTTCAACCCCCAAAGGGGTTGCGACCCACAGGTTGAGAACCGCTGCTGTAAAGAGTTCCAGTCTTGGAAGCTCACAGGGCAGTTCTCCTCTGTCCGATATGGTAGCTGTGCGTCCCATCAACTTAGAGGCAGTGAGTTTGGTTATTGTTGTTGTGTCCCCCCACCCCCCAGAGGCTTTACCTAGTAAAAAGAAATATAGAATATATACGTACTGCAGCTAATAGAAAGTATACAATGTGACATGAACTATTCTGAACATTTTAACTTGTTAACTTAGGGTATGGAAAAATAGTTTTTATGCCTTTATAGAATTATTTTGAATTATCTTAGAATCTATAAATAGGCTTTATATTCGTTTTAAGCATAATTTCAACACATTTACCTACTGGACACAATTAGAATATATAGAAAATCCAGCAATTCCTATGTGATGTGAATACTTTAAAACAAACAAAGCAAACGGATACTTCTCATGTTACCGATGGACCTAGGAAGCTTTAGAGAGCGTTGATGCATCGATAAACTGTGCAGGTAATCAGGGACCAGGTGGAGAAGGATTATAGGTCACCCTCTCATCAGGGCTAAAGGGATCTTGGTGGTGCAGAGGCTGCGCACTTGGCTACAAACCAAAAGACGACAGTTTTGATCCCCCACCCGTTCCTCAGGAGAAGATGTGCAGTCTGCTTCCGTGGAGCATAAAGTCCTGGCAACCTTTTGCTGCAGTTCTGCTTTGTCCTGTTGTGTGACTGTGTGTCAGAATGGACCCCTGAGCAGTGGGTTTGGGTTTTTAGATTTGTGGCTAAGAAGCATTTCCGTTACAGTTCTATGCGGCTAACTGACAGATTGAAGATGAGAGTCCACCCAGAGGTCCCTCCGAAGAAGGGCTTCATGATCTCCGAGTGAGAAATCAGCTACCGACGTCTATGAAATGCATACACTCGCCCCTTTGACACACACGAAGGGGTCCTCCGAGCAGCAACTGGTTTTTATTTCCAGCAAGCTGATTTTTTTCTAAACCTAATTATCATCGACACAATCTAGGAACACTGATATTATCAAGAACGTCCTAATTTCTTGGTAGAAATTTACATTGAAATTAGGGTACAGTATTTCTGTCATCTGTGAAACTTGGGAAAGTTGACAATTGAAGGGTATGTGACTGGCATGTCATTTTTAGTTGTCGTTGGGTCAAGTCCAACTTATGGCTACCTTGAGGGAGAATAGACCCTCTCGGTAGGATTTCATGTCAATGAACTTTCAGAAGCAGATCTCCTGACTTGCTTTTGTAGAAGCTTTGGGATGAGTTTGAACCATCAACCTTTCAGCTAAATGTGGAGTATTTACTTGCCATCCAGGTAGAAATGACATACTTAATATGAAAATTAGAGAGCTCACAAAAGTTTTGGTTAATGCCCACTCATATACTAATATATGCAAGTTAATTTTCACAGGATAGTATTACAGATTAATCTGTATTTTGTTACAATAACTTAACAAATTTGGACTAAATAATACTTATACTGCTTTTGTTTTTCTTTGCCAATCTTTCTGTTGTCTTAGTTGTAAGATAGATACCAAGTCCCTTGTTCCTTTACTGCTGTTTAAAATTTATACATCTTCACTCTCTTAATTGTCAATCTATTTTCCTTTGAGAACTAAAACTTTCCTTAGGTGATCAGAAATTAGTTTAAAAAATGTTTCAGAACATAAAATAAGTTGTATCGTGAGCACTACTACTTATACTATCTTTATGTCTTCAAAGAATTTGAAAAAGAGCCATGATCTGGTTTATATCATATATATTTCAAATAGAAAATATGCATTACAATAATACCTGGGTTCCCTGTCTTCCCGGGTGGGCCTGGAGCTCCTCGACTTCCAAATGAGCCAATTGCTCCCCGATCACCTTTAAGGCCTCGAGGACCTATATGGTTAAAGAGAAAAAGAGAAGTGAAAAATAATTATTTTTTTCTAATATTTGGGGTATAATAAAATAATCTATGTCTTCATGAGATAATATGAAGAACAGTCCTTCCAAAAAGTCCATGTGTGCACTGATAGATTATATAAACACTAAGTATAAATATTTGCACATTTACTATCTTGTAGATATTCAGTAAATAGCACATTATTGTAATAATAAGAAAACATTAGGGGGAAAACGTGGTATTTTTTTATAGAAATTGTAATAAATAAACTAATAAACAATTTTCAAATGATGAGATTTTACTGTGGTTGACATTTATAAGCTGACAGTTGAAATTCTAAGATTTTTACCAGAGAAAGAAAAACTCAAGCAATGTGAAATATTAAAATATACTTTATAGAAAAGATTAAGGGACTCCGTTATGGCATAAATAATTATCTTTCATGGATTTATTTTTACACATTTACATATTCCATTGCTAACCCTTGTTCAGATGATTGACTCTTTGTCTATGTATAGGTTCCACATGAACACAATTAAATGTTCTAGAATTCCCTTTCTTCCCAAGGTTCAAAAGCAAGAAAGATACATGTCATGGTTGTATTCTTTCATCATGCTTATTTAGTCTGTATGCTGAGCAATTAATTTGAGAAATTGGACTATTTGAAGAAGACTGTGGTATCAGTATTGGAGGGAGACTCATTAGCAACCTGACGCCATTGTGGTTGCTGAAAGTGCAGAGAATTGGAAGCGCTTACTGATAAAATCAAAGACCACACAGCCTTCGGTGTGAATTACAACTCAATGTAAGGAAACAAAGGTCCTCATTACTGAACCAGTGAGCAACATCATGATAGAGCAAACATTAAATTTGTCAAGGATCTGATTTTACTTGGATCCAAAATAAATGTCCATGGAAGCAACAGTTGCGAACCGGAATGAGAGATTGCATTCGGCAAATTTGCTAATAAGCACCTTTGAAAGTTGTTTTGTTTTTTAAAGCAAAAATGTCACCTGAACAAGCCAGGTGTTCTCACTTGTCTCACCTGCTGTGAAAGCTTGACAATCATAAGTGTCCCGGGGAAAGAATTAGCCGATTTATATTATGGTATTGACAGATAATATTAGATATCCCATGCGCTCCCAGAAGATCCAATCTCTCTGGGAAGATATTCTGTCAGAATCTTCCTTGGAATCCAGTACAGTAAGAATTCATCCCACATGCTTTGGGCTTCTGACCAAAGGGAGCCGATGTTTGAGAAGGCTGTAACGCTCGGTAACAGGAGGGTCAATGAGACAGAAACCCTCAGGGAGATAGCTAGGTGCACTGGCTTCAAGAACCGGCTAAGGCGTGACAAGGGTTGTGGGGGTGGGGCGGGACTAGACAGTGCTTCATTCTGTTATACGTGTGGTCACTATGAGTTGGAAATAACTCAGGAATACCTAACATTTTTATCCCAAACAAGGAAGATTAGTAGGTACAACACAAATTAAATATCCTTTTATGAACATGCTATGTCATATATCCATACAGGGTTTTATATGTTTAAATAAAAATAACCTCTTTTTTAATGCACATCTCTTTGGTGAAAAATGTATTTAAAAGCAAATGCTCTATTTCTTTTTAATTTTTTTAATGAATGAATCATTTTATTGGGGGCTCTTACAGCTCTTATGACAATCCATACACCAATTGTATCAAACACATTTGTACATATGTTACCATCATCATCATTTTCAAAACATTTTCTTTCTTCTTGACCCCTTGGTATCAACTGCTCTTTTCCCCTCCTCCAGAAAATGCTCTATTTCTATGGAGTTTGATATTTCATTCTGGAGTTTGATTAAACTCTTATAAAAATCTAATTTTAAGTGCCATTATAAGCGCACAGATATCACATTAACCCGATTTCCATCGATGCCTCTGGAGGGACATGATGAGAAATTGATTGTACATCATTTTTCAGTGTCCACCTCTAATAATATTGCCACTAGGCTGCAAGTTTCAGTAGGACAGCAATTGTACCTCTCCCGTCCATTTAGAAAGTCTTTGTCAAAGTCCAGCATCTCATGCTGACACCAAAAATTGGACTAACAACTTCTAACACTTGTTGATTTTGAGAATGATATTATTCTAAATCAGCAATATTTTTCAATCCATTGTAAAACTTTGTCTCCAACAGAAATTCAGCAGGTAATCAAATCAATCTAAGGCCTATGTCTAGAAACAATCATTTGGTTGAGTGTCACAGCGGAGTCTGCAAAAACATAGTATTTGTTCTCAGGACAAGTTGTAGCTGAATATCCATGCTGGTCTTCGCTGGCCAAACAGAGCAGTCTTCTATACATGCACACACTGAGATCTGTCACTGAACATCACAAATAAGAACTCATGCTGATGGAGCATAACTCCAGATAAAAGGAAACAGCTACAGGGATCTGTTAAAGCTGCGAAGGTGAAATGTGCAAAGTATGAATCTAGGAAAATTAGAATTCATCAAAAATGAAATAGAACACATAAAGATCAATATCCTAGCTGAAATGGGCTGGTATTGGCCAGTTAGAGTCAGCAAATCATATGATTTACTCTGCTGAGAGTAACAAAATCCAGAGGAGTAATTTGGTATTCATTGTCAAAAGGGACATTGCAAAATCAAGCATGAAATACAATGCTGTCTGTGATATTATACCTACTAGCCTTCGGGGAAATCCAATCAATACGACTTTTATTCAAATTTATGCACCAACCACGAAAGATAGTAATAAAGAAATTGAAAATTTCTACCAATGTATTCAGTCTGGAATGGATCAAACATGCAATCAAGATGCATTGATAGTATTGGAGATTGTAATCCAAAAGTTGGAAACAAAGGGGAAGGAACAATATTTATAAAATATGGATTTGGTGATAGAAATGAAGCTGGAGATTGCACAATAGAATTTTGCAAGACTAAAGACTTGTTGATAACAAATGCCTTTCCAACAACAGAAAGGTGACATACACGGACTACTCCAGATAGAACACACAGCAATCAAATCGACTGTGTATGTGGGAACAGACGGTGGAGAAGCTCCACGGTGGTAGCTAAAACCAGGTGAGGGACAGATTGTGGAACAGACGATCAATTGCTCATATGTAATTTTTGGTTAAAGCTGAAGAAAAGTAAAACATATCCATGAGAGCCAAAATATGACTTGAGTTTATTCCATCTGAATTTTGAAAACATCTCAAGAACAGAGTTCATCCATGGAACCCTAACAACAGGAGACATGATGCCATGTGGGAGGATCTCAACAAAGTGATTCATGAAGATGGCAAAAGGCAAATAAACATACAAGAAAGAAAAGATCAAAGATCAAAGGGGATGTCTTTGAAACTTGCTCTTAGCTGAAGCAAATGAAAGGAATGGATGAAATCAAAGAACTAAATAGAAAATTTCAAAGGGCAGCTCGAGAAGATAAAGCTAGATATTATATTGAAATGTGTAAAGATTTGCAATTAGAAAATCAAAAAGGAAGAACATGCTCAATATATCTTAAACTGAAAGAACTAAAAAAAAAAGAAAAGAAAGAAAGAAATCAAACCTAGCGTTGCAATATTGAAAGGTTCTATGGGTAAAAGAGTGAATGATACAGCAAGCATGAGGAGAAGATGGAAAGAAGACACAGTCATTGTACCCAAAAGAACTAGCTGAAATCTTGCCATTTCAGTGGTAGCATATAAGCAAGCTTCTGAAGGCAGAAGTTCAAGCTTTTACTCTATAACACATAAAGTAAACAGGAGTCAAAATTGATTCAGTGCCAATATGTTTGGTATTTTTGGTTTGGTCCATCATGAACTCTTTATTTCCTGATTCCAGTATCAAACAAAATTAACAAACCCACTGAATACCAAACAAAAATACCAAACCCAGCTCTCAGCAACCCCGTGGGTTAGAGTAAAACTACCGTAAAGTTTCCAAGGCTGTGACCTTTTGGGAACCAGAAACACCAGTCTTTTGATTAGCAGCTGAGTGCTTAACCACTGTGCCACTAAAATTCCAACTAGACACTCTGTTAGAGAACAGAGCATGCAACAGTTAGTATGGAATTCTACGTTGGGAATAGTATATGGCAGCCTGAAGACTTTTGCTGTAGTGCCCCATACCAAGTGCTATTTAGATACAGTAAGAATCAGTTTATCTCTCCTGTAACTAAATCTAACTCTCTTTTAGAAGGGACTAGATAAGGGCTATGTGTGGAAAAAGCAGTAACAGTGGAAACAAACTAAACTATTGTTTACTATGTTATAATCTACAGATGATATTTCCAAGGAATGTAACATAATACCTAGAAAAGGAGAGAATGAAATTTCTTTGCTCTTACAAAGAACATACAGAAAACAAGGTCAATAACACAATTAGCATGCTGCACCAGAATAAAAATCAAATACCACACATGCTCTTTGAAAATCTCCCATAATATATGGCCTAATTATAGCTAGAATTATAAACACCATGCGCTTTGTCTTCACTAAATGAATCAAAAACACTTTGTAATACTGTTACTGTCATTAACAAAAACTTCTAAATCTCTGTTTAATTTCATACATCCATAGATCAGGAAAAATATTTCCAAAATGAAGCTTTGTACAGAAGTGCGTATGCCCAGACTTAACTTTTTTTTGGTAAGTTACGAGGTTTTGACCATTTAAATTCGTAATGGCCAAGCCGATGAGTGCTTGACTGGCAGCTCCCGCAGCTGCTGTATAGTGTGGGTTCTTTCCCTGCTTCTGACATTGTTAGGGTCTGCTGAGCACTAGTCAAGGAGAAAGACTTGTCTGAATGAAAATTCTTCCCTGACAGTACTTCCAAAGGTATGCAAAGCCACCTAAAGCTTCATATATCTATGCAAAAGGTTCATAGAAAAATTTCATTCTCTTTTCATTTCATTTTCCACGAAGGGTGTAAAGTCTATAATATACATACATACACAGATATGTGTATACATATTACATGTGTATACACACATATGCATCTATGCTTCAAATGTGTTTTTATATTTTAAAATTGTAAACTTTAAATATTTATTTTTTTAAGCATAATGGTGTCAAAGTCAAAAATCACACTTTTAATTTTTAAACATTGTTTCACTGCATTGGTCAATATATTTATGTGAAAGGAAAGCTTTTTATATAATGAAGAGAAATAATAAGACAAAGCACATGGTATTTATATTTCTAGCTATAATTGGGCCATATAATATGATTTTCAAAGAGCATGTGTGGTGTTTGATTTTTATTCTGGTGCAGCATGCTAATTGTGTTATTGACATTGTTTTTTGGTTGTTCTTTTTAAGAGCAAAGCATTTCATTCTCTCCTTTTCTAGGTATTATGTTACATTCCTTGGAAATATCATCTGTGGATTATAACACAGTGAAAAATGTTCTGAAGCAATGTTACTCTATGTAGAATACAGAGTGGCTGAGAGCAAAGGCAGTCGTCACCGGTAATCTATTCAAGGTCTACATCCAAGTTTCAAGGATTTAACCAGATATATTCCAATCAAGGACTGTCAAAGAAATGTAATTAAATTTGTCTTTGATTCAAGATATAAATCTTTTATATCTTAAAATTCATATAACTTGAAAGCATATTCAATACAAAAAAGATTTTTATGTTTGCCTTCATAGGTAACCTAAAGCCAACTTGACTGTATACTGTGGTGTAAGGGAGGGTCTCAAAAAATCAAAGAAAATTGAATGCAAAGATAATGTAGTTTTGCCTGAAATTTTTGAAACCACCTCATATAATCTGTGATATGGATGACACCTTTACTGATAGTCTGGCTAAAATAACTTTGCCAAGGGTCAGTGCTTACCATTCAGTATATTATAATGATTAGACTGATAAAATATTTCATGTTGTTCCCAAACAAAAACATACATATGGTAAAGAATAACTAAAACATATCCTTCCCCCTATGCATACATACAGTATACATTAAGTATCTCCATACTTTATTAAGTAACTAATATTAACATACCTATGGGACCTGGAAGTCCAGGTGTACCATTTTCTCCAGTAATTCCTCTATCTCCTTTTGCCCCTGGGGGTCCAGGAGGACCTTTAAAAAAATAAATTATAGTTATTGATCATTGTTATAAAGAATTGATGTAAATGGACTTGTCAATGTAGTGAAGACAGTTATACATGGAAATCAAAATCCTTTCTTTGTTGCATAGTAGCATAGACGATTTAGAGCAGTCTCTTCAATGCAGGACTATACAGCTGTAAAATAGTGAGATGCCTTACACTTATAAGAACGGTGTAGAGCCAAAGTAACCAGTCTCACCACACATTCCATTCATATGAACTCAAGGTTTTTTTGAAGTTCTAAGAATTTTCAGCTGTAGGGGAAAAACACTGAGTAATGATGGTGCGGAATCACACTAAATCAGTATGTACTGATCACATGCTAAATTACCATATTAAATTAGATATTTTGTGGGAAATGAAAGAGTAAAGATTTAGTAACATGTGTATTATACTCTCAAGAGAAACAAGTACCAACACTTTGTAGAAAAACAAAAACCAATTCGTTGGACCTGAGTCTAAATGTCGTCATAAGTCAAACTTCATATTCTTTAGCATTAAAGGGAATTACTAACATCCTAAGCTATTACTTATTATTGGGAAGCATATATTTTTAAGTATTGAAAGGGAATTATGTTTAAGTATCAAAAAGCCATTGCCTTAGGTAGTGGGTAGATTTTTTTTTCTTCTTGTTCTTGTTCTTTGAAATATTGTGTGAAAAAGGAGTTACCAGAACTCATAGGCACATTGAATGTAGGTGGTAAGAGGAAAGGGAAAATCAAAGACAATTTGAAAACCAATATCGGATGAGAAACTAATTGCATACTGATGCAACTGACAAATAAGCCTGGGATGCCGAAGTTTTGGAAGGATGTAAAGAGGCGAGCTAGTATAGAATCAAATTTGATTTTTCACTTTTTTAGATATTTATTTGAAATCCAAATGCAGTTGCTTAAATTGTTAAGGAGGAAGCTAAGTAACTCAAGTCTTTCCTTATCATTTCCTTCAATGTGACAATAAAAAAATAATCAGGAAGTAAAAGTCCTGCTCCCAAATCATGCAAACCTTTATTAAGCCACAAATATGTAAATGTTTCACAACATACCCTCCATCTAGGTCTCTACCCCTCTGACATTTTCATCTCTCATAGTTTCCCTGAAGTACGCTGGGCTCTTCAGTTTACATCATCATCAAAGTGGTAGTTTTGACATCCTCAAGGAACTCAAATAATATTCCTTTTAAATGTTCTTTGAATTTTGGGGGGAAATACACAGTAGTCTGGAGCGGCAAGATCAGGACTTTAGAATGGTTACGGTAAGGCATGTTACACAACCGTGTGGGCCAGCCTTGTTGCTTCAAGGAATAGCCATGTGCATAATCGGATGGGAAGGAAGAAAGAAAGGGAGAACGGAGGGAAGGAAGAGAGGAACGGTGGGAGGAAGGGAGGAAGGGAGGAGGGAAGAAAAGAATGAATGAAAAGGAAAATAAATACTTGGGTCAATGTTCATGGCCTTTTCCTCATCTGACAGTTTTCAGTTTTCTTTAAACTTCTTCCTCACAAATCCCTGATCATTCTGTGTTCTTCAAGAAAAATCTATCAAGATTACCCCTTTTGAATCCTTTTTAAAAAAAAATAGTCACCATAACCTGAGCTGACCTCTCTGTGTCGTGACGTCAACCGCCCGGTGGATCCCATCAGAAGCTACTGTTTTGATTAGACCTAGGTCTTAGTGGTACAGTAAGGAAGCTAAGACAGGAGTATTACTGAGAGAATTTGTCTGCAACGTCTAGCCATTGCAGCCATCTACTAATGTGAAAACATGTTTTGGGTGGTATAAACCATGTATTTATGAATGGAATCCTAGGAGCAATATTTTTTTTATCTTCCCTCATATATGTACTAGGGGCACTATGAGTCAGCCTCAACTTGATGGCAGTGAGTTAGACTATACTCTTTTAGGGTAGCTAGGCCAAATTCAAAACCAAGCCCAATGACAATGAGTCAATTCTGATTCCCAGGGAACCTAGATAGTGTTTCCAAGGCTTTAAATCTTCACAGGAGTAGATAGCCTCACCTTTTTCTCAATGAGCGGTCAGTGGGTTTGAACCTCTGGTATTCTGTGATCATTAACAGTCTAATATTCCTTTTTAAAGATAAATGTGTATAGATAAATTTCAAGGATAACCATCAAAAATGTAGAAATAGATTCAAAAAGTTTTCAAAATCAGTAGAGAGAAGAATGATATAAGACAAAGGAAGTATATAATGGGGTGAAAATTAAACAGATTGATATTCAAAATATGTGCAAAAGGTTGCTAGACTGCATTTAAAAATTAAAAAATCAATGTTCTTCACAAGAAGCAGAGATTTTAAAAAATGCAAAAGCTTTGAAAGTATAAAGTGGAAAATATTTGTTATGTAAATGAGTGAAAACTACTATAATCTATATATGATAAATATTTTAATAACTCACTGATTCAATTCATGTTGTCCTACTAAAACTAACTGAAGAAGTAGATTATACACCCAACATTATTTGGGAAAATTCTTTATAATTAATAATACAATCAGTTAAAAAGGAATTAAGCATCTGGAATTGTGAGAAGAACAATGACAAAATTGATTTATGGAGACCTTGAAACTCACCAAAACCTCGTCTTTTTCTTCAGTTCATATGGTATGATTTTAGCAATGAACTACCCATTAGCTCTTACGAGACATTTTATTTGCTTATCTCCTTCTATTTAAAATACACCAAGATACTGGCTATGTTATCATGTCTTGAATTCATGATTCGTTTCTCTGGATAGGTGTAGACAATGTATTCTAACAAACTATTTCTTTTAAATCACAAGATTCTGAGTTTTAAATTTCTGCATATATAAGTACATTGCAATGATGTGTCATTTCCCACAGGAAAGAGATGTTTTACCTTGAACTAAAGTAAGGTTTCTTAATGTCTGAGAATGTTCCCAGTCTTTCAGTCTGAGATCGTTCGTGATGTTATTCAACAGTTTCACATCTCCTTTTATTTCCTCTTCCAAATGCACTTGTTCTTCTTTCAGAGACTTGATTTCTGCTGATGCGTTGTACACACAAGCCTCTAGTTTTCTGATTTCCTGTAAAACATAAGTGAACACCCACAATTGCTGTTAGCCACATAATTATCAAATATGTAGGTTCAAAAAAGGACTGGAAGTTCAATTAAATTTTTTACAGCAATAGTATGGAATACGAAAACATAATTTAGAGAACTCAAAAATAGAATTGTTCACTTTTGACACATATCCTCTTTTGACTGAATGACTGTATGTTTAAGTTACCCCCAAATTAGTTGAAGAGAGCTAAGTTATGTGTCCATTGCCAAATATAAATAAGATTCTTAAAAGTAAACACTTGCTATACAAGGGGGCTTCAAAAAGTTCAGGGTAAACTTTTTGAACCCTGATCATATTTGTAATTTATCTAAAAGTAAAATGTCTTTATATTGTTGCTTAGAGTGGCAACATATTCCTACTTTTTAATAAAATTTCTTTACACATTAAACTGTTTTATAGAAATAACTAACGTTTACTGTAGTGAGTTTCAGTAGCACAGAAGTTAATAACTTAATAGATTAATGACAGTTTTCATAGATATACACATATGTGTATATTTTTAATTAGGCATATATTTGCATGTATAGAATGTTGGCCAGACATAAGGTCATTCTATGGTTGTATATTTTATTCAGTAATATATCAATGATATCCTATTGTGATCAGGAGCCCTGCTGCACTGGCAGGTAAACTTGGGACTGCTCAATGTCAGCCTGGGCGTACAAATCCATGGGCGGTACATTACCTCTCTACTTTTGTGAAGATTAAATTAATTATATGATACTGTATTGATTGTTCATAGTTTGAGATGTCTATTGATGAGAAATTTAGCTGTCTATTTTAAAATAGACAATTTAAAGCAATGGTTCAATGAACACAATTTCATATAGTTTTATACATTTGTACAAATGCTTCTATAAAACCTCCTCTTGGAAGTATATTTGATCCAAGGGACTAAACATTAATATTTGTGTTAAACGCTATCACATTGCCTTTCAAATATGTGGAACTAAGTTTTTAATATATTACTAATTGCACTGGAATGACCATTCACCTAAATATTAGGAGGCACTCTAAGTTTATAATATAATAATAGATCTGTAATCAATCATTGCCATGCACTCTGCTTTTCAAATTGTGATTACTTTTAGCTTCCACTGCTTTGGGCAACTTGTCATTTCCTATTTCACTTTTCCTCCAGAGTCTTTTCTCCGGGGTGTGATGGGCTTTCTCTTTCAGATGGATCTCTCTTAATTCCTGCTAGTTGCTTTCTGGCTCTCTGTTGGACCTTTAATCTATACTCTGTCTTCATGGTGCGCTCTGTATATTTTTAATAATTATTTTATATCTAACAGTAGACGGATTCTCATCTCCCACTCACATACAGAAACGAATGCGTGGTGTGTGTTTCCTAATCCAGGTCTCCTGGACAGGAATGACAAATTGAGGTGAAAGGATCAAGCAGTTCTGGGGTCAAACCTTTGGTAAAGGATGAAAGGAACTACGATTGACCTCCTGAATGACACTGCCCAACGCAGACAGGCTCAATGACTGTCAGTGCTCAAACTCAGCCTAACAGGAACCCTGGCGGCATCGAGGGCTCTGTGTGGATGAGACGTTCTACTCCTGTAAAGAATTACAATGGTGATAACCCACGGGGGCAGTTCTACTCTATCCCACAGAGTTGGAATGGGTCAGAGTCCACTCCTAGTAGTGATTAAAAAATAATAATAATAACCTTATTTTCCCACAGCCTGGCTCTAAATTAGGTTACATCCAATTCCATCACCTCTGTCCATGACTATTAGGTATCTTCCATAAAATGTAGCAACACAATGAAAATTATTAGTGGACATGACTGTGGAGCAAAGCAGGATGATAAATTCATATCCTCTACTGAGTTTAGATGCTCTGGGGCTTGCGGTTACCTGTTGGGTGGCTAACCGCTAGGTCAGCAGTTTAAACCTACCAGTGACTCCAGGGGAGAAAGATGGACTATAGATTGCTACAAAGTTATCTGAGCAACACAGGACAGAGAGTAGAGGAATGACTATTATTTAGAACCCAGAAATTCCGTATTATTTTGCAGAACTAAATCTGAGACTGTCGTTTCATTTTCATTTTTGGAAGCTTCAAATGCTATTCGCGTTAGTCAGATTTCACTTGAAATAATTTTTATTGGAGAGAAAATGGCACTGATTTTTAATGAGCTCTGCCCAGAATTCCTGTATCTCGTCACATTCCACCACTAGTGGTTTTCCTGGAAACAAGGCGCTGAATTCTGAAATCTAACAGGTTTTCCAGGAAGAACAAATATAAATTTCATTCATAGCTTACACTTTTATGCCAGTGATTTTTATTTTCATTCTTCCAACTAAATGTTTGTTTGTTCTTGCTAAATATTTTTCTGCTAGTATGATTTATAAGACATTCCTTCAAACAGTATTTTCTAGCTCAGGAATTAATTTAATTTATTTGTTCCAGCATTAGACTAAAAATTTAAAAATGAATAAGATTCTTTAGACAACGGAGTTTTGAGCCTGGTGTTGTTTTATAGTGTGGGTGTGAAAGTGTATGGATACACTACACACACATACATTTATACTGACATTGACCTAGTTTCTTAATTTCTACAAGTAACTACTGTGTTTAAAAATAATTAGCAGTGGAAATTCCACCATTTCTTGTACCTTCCTTGCTAATGATGAACACCTACTCTCTCTCTCTTTCTCTCTCTCTCTCTCTCTCTCTCTCTCTCTCTCTCTCTCACACACACACACACACACACACACACACACAAAGAAAAAACAAAAACACATGAAAGATAAGTACAATTTAGCCAACCTCAAACAGATGTTGATTATATCTATTATCATTTTTAAATTATTTGTTATTTCCTCCACCGTCCATAGGGCTTCCAACTCAGTGTGATCCCTAGAATGTGAACTCAGGTGAGATCATAAACGTTCTGTCTCCTGGCTCAGATCTGAAGCAGTCGCCACATCGAATCTATCCTCGTTGTTCCATCTTATCCCCCTTCTCTCCGGCCGTCCTGTTTTCTGCCAGTCTTATGACATGCAGGGATATTTCTTCTCCCTACTTCTTCCTCTCAATCCATATCTACTCCTATATCTGATATTTTACTCCCATTTCCTCCCATATATCTCAGTTCTAGAGATAAGTTTTTATTTTGGCATTATTTTATAAACCTACCATAACCTCAGCCTCTGACATGCTGACACTAGATGATAAGCTTAGAGCTTATTAAGAGTAGGAGAAATAGTGACAGATTTTGGAAGATGTCACATCAAATAGAAAAGAATGGTGTTGGCATTCAGTTCCCTGAAAGAGTCCCTATATTTAACTAGCAATGTCATTGTTGCTTGACACAGTCAGATATGTGCCATATAAGAAATAAAAAATTTTGAGTTATTATACCTGTCATTCATAATTAAGGAGAATTTTCTTTCTATTCTCCAACTTTTTAGTTTGTTCAAATTATTAAAATTATTAATCAAATTATTGACTATTTTTTCATCTACTATTGTAATTTCAGATACTTTGCTTTCTAAAGGACATCACTTTTAAAAATAACTATTATGTAACTATGAATCAATACATAAAACCTTTTAAGACTAGTTCTATTGTACTAAACCTCCTATAAAATATCAGCATTATTTAGGTATTAAGAAGACAGAGGTATCACATTATAATGATACTATGTGTTATAGATTTTATAATATGAATATTTAAAATTCCATTTGCATGATAATGTTTTAGTCATATGTGGCCATTTCATGAAAAGCAATAATTATTCAACAACCAAAAAACCCATTTGCATATATGCATTTTTCTTGCTACATATATAGCCATGAATGTGGTCAAACATATAGGGGACAACATGATGGAAACCGCTTGGATATAATCAAGCATCTTGAGGGGAAAAGCTCATGTATCTGGAGGATCAGGGCCATAGTCTCTGGGGTAATTGAATCCAGTCGGCCTAACACAGTTCACAAAGACATGGTCTAGATCCTACTTTGGTGATTAGGGACTGCTGTCTTAAAAACTCATGAGCAGCTGAAAGAATAATGATGAAAATGAAAAGACATATGTAGACATTTAGTCCAATGGACTAACAGACCGCACAGTCATCAGACCCCCATGACCCTCAGACCAGAAGAACTACAGGGTGCCCAGCTACTATACCAATTGCTCACATTCACTGTAGTGGGATCCTGCAGCCTTGGTAGCATATTGAGTTAAGTGACAAGCTTCGAACTGCAAAGTCAAGAGTTCAGAACCACCAGCTGCTCAAAAGAAAGGTGAAGCTTTCTTCTCCTTTAAACAAAGTCTCAGAAACCCACAGGGGCAATTCTACTCTGACAGGGTAGTTAGAGGTCAGAATTGGCTCAATGACAGTGTGTTTGAATGAGATAACCCAGTAAATAAGGTTTCCATTCTTTGGTGATAAGAAATACTGATCTGTTGCAAAATTGAAAATTCATAATGCTTAACTCTACAGAAGTACTCACTCGCTGGCATAAAACAAAGTTGGACTCATATTGACCCTTTGGACAGGATAGAGCTGCCCCTGAGTGTGTCTTAAGCTGCAAATCTTTAGAATCAGACAACTTCATCTTTCTCTCAAGAAGAAGCTGGTGGGTTCTAACTGCTGGCCCTTTGGTGAGCAGCCCAACACATAACCCACTCTGCCACCAGGGCGGCTCCTACAGATCTACTCAGATGGTCTAAAATTTATCATTTATTTAAGTTACTGAGTTATAGCTAACTATATTTAAAAACTAAAATTCCTTATGTCTATTTCTAATGTGGGGATGAATCCTTTATCACTGGGAGAAGATACTAGATAAATGCATATGAAACTTTTTAGAAAGGTGGCCAGAGGAAGCAGAGTAAATCAGATACTGTGGAAACATGGTTTGCAATTTTTGCTTTCCTGGGCTGCCTGGGGAGACAGGATCTGTACTCAATTTCAGTATATGACCTCCCAATATAAAAATAAAAAATTAAGAATCAGACTTACTTCTTGTTCTTTCAGTGCATTCTCTTGAACCTTGCTATTCAGTGCCTCTACATTTAACTGTAAATCAAGCAATGTGGTATTCAGACTCATTAAAGACTTGGAGATGTCATTTATTATATTTTCATGTCCACTCACGGAGGAAAGTAAGGTACTTATCTTGAAAAGAGCATCATTAAATCTTTCATCGGTTTTCACACTGAAATTCTGGAAATAGCCTGTGTCGATAAGGTCGTCCTCCGTATTTGAAAGGGATTGGATTCTCTTCTCCATGGTGCTTATGCGTTCCATCACAACTTCTTGAAATCTCATTTCAGTTCCTCTGTTTCTCGTGAGATTTTGAGATAGATAAGCTGAATTAACGGAATCAACTGAGCAAATTTTTGTGTTCCATTTCAGGAATTGAGCTGCATGTTTAATTAAAAAATAAAAAGAGTTATGGTCTGTATTTTTAAGTAGATACACCATTTGCTTCATCATTCCCTATCATTCCATTCTAAAATGTTGAATATTATCCTAAATCAAGTATTCATATACATATACAATGTGTGATCCATACTAAACATATTTCTTAGCAAGAAGAATAAAACTCCCTTTTCTACTTTACATCACAATTTATTTTAGATTTCTATCTGCATTGCTGCTTATAATTGCTATAAAATGGCGTCTGATTTAGCAAATTAGATAAAATTCTATGGATTATAGACAGACTAATCTGTCTGTAGTTTATGTCATAGTACTATTTATCTCATGGCACTATTGTCATGATAAAACGAGTTAAGACTTAAAATAGAATTTGAAGTAAGCATGTCAAGTATGTGAGCTATTATAAAAAGTAAATAATGATAGTTCACATCTGGTTAAAATGTCTGCCTATCACCCTTGTTCTATAACAGAAAATGCCAGAGAATTGCCTTTTTATACCTTTTACACAGGTCTAATTCCCTTTGAACAATCAGATATGTCCCTTTGTCATTTTATAGTGGCTTGTGTGTTATCATGATATTCAAAGCTATGACATCAGTATTTCAAGTGCCAATCGAATCATCCATGGTGAACCAGCGTCGGGTCACTGCCAGACCAAAACCCCCAACCAAAACTGGAGGAAGAAGAAAGACGCAGACCAACGTTGTGGGATTTGTCACAGGAAACTTTATAAATAGCAAGGGACCACGGTCAATGATAGTGCCAATAGATGAGTTCCGCAGGTTGGAAGGCACTTAAAATACAACTGAGGAAGACCTGCTTCTCATAGGAGAGTCAACTTTATGTGGATGGAGCAAACCTTTTAGAACCTACATTTGCTAACTGGGAAAATGAAAATGAAAAGAAATAGCTGCAAACTTCCATTAATATTGAAATTTGGAATGTACAATGTATGAACCTAGGAAAATTAGAAGTCGTTGAAAAATGAAATGGAACACATAAAGATTGAGGTCCTAGGCCTAGTGAGCTGAAATGGACCCATATTGAAGTCAGGAGAAGAAGGGCATCATTGTTCTTTATTGTCAAAAAGAACACCCCCCCGACAAAAAAAGAACACTCCAATTAGATGCTGCCCAACTACTGGAAAGAATAGTATCTGGGGTGTTAAAGGTGTGTCTTAAAACTAGCAATCATCTAAATGAGGTGTTGGGTAAGTCCACATAGAAGAAGCACACTAGTCTGTGTGATTCAAGGACTGTAAATCATAAAATCCAAGACCAGAGAAGAAAGCTATATTAGAGCTTAACATCTGAGCACCCAGTTTGCAAAAGACTGACTATGGATGACAGTGAAAGCCCAAAATCCATATGCAGGGGTTATTCCAGTGAATCCTCTCTCTCTGACCATTGACCAGGGAGGTGAACAGTTCTGCTATCAGACAGAGTGTATTGGAAAGCAGACAAATGCAGATATAGTTAAGTTAAAATGTAGCATCAAGTTCAATGAGATTATGGTATAGAATATATTTTTCTTATAAATTTTAAAACACTGTGCCTGTTTACTTATACTCTAAGTACAAATTAATTTTATCATTATTTTCTTTAAAACCTCTTAACACTTTATTGTAAATCTAAGTAAGGAATGGCAGATCATATATTTCTCATATTCCTAGCTTAAAGTATGGCAACTACTTTTTGGTGTGAAAACTCAATGACTCTGGGAGAGTCGCTCATGGAATGTAGGAGTTGACGTTCATGGCTGGGAATCCTAGTTCTGCTCTCCAGTATTCTTAGCTTCCGGGTGTGGGTGCGCATAATAGTGCTATGAAAAATGTCTCGCTGAAGTTTAAGCTTTTAGTCTACAAGGTTTTATCTCTTTGAAGATTCAAAGAAATACTTTTTCCTGCTCTTATTTCTAGGAGTAGAAGTGGTTCTGGGGTGGGGGGGGGGGGGGGGGGGGGGGGAGGGGGCTTGCTTTTATATTCTGAGAGGAAGTTGGGGCTTTCTACTTCTGTAAACAATTAGCATTTCGCATTTCTACAGGGACAGTTCTACTCTGTCCTACAGGGTCACTATGAATCTGTATTGACTTGGTGGCATTAAGTTTGTTTGTTTGTTTAGTATTGTAGAATCTGTTGATGTAAATAATCTGATTTATGTCTTCATTTGGCACTAAAATACTTATCATAAAATTTGCAACCCATATATAGAAGTATAGAGAAACTCTAGGGATTTTTTTTCATTGCCTAATTCTTTACAATTTACCTTTGCATGTCTTTATTTTTACCTTTCTCTTCTTGCTTAATTAAATTTCTTAATCTTTAATTTTATTTTTGCTACCAAACATTTTGGAATAAAATAGGAGGCAAAATGAAAATAAGATATATTCTATTCAGTAAGAAATAAAATGGAGAGTCACAGGAAAAGCCAATATAGGTATTATTACTGATATTTAGTTATCCACTCTATAGACATTCATTGAGAAATCACTATTCTTTACAAATAACTTGCTTCGCAAGATGAATTTTAAACTTGATACCAATGTAAATAAACATAAAGTTTATTCTATGTGTTTCACATGATAAAGACAATGATTCATTATGAGCATATATAACTCAAATGCTAAATTTGTAATAATCAATTGCAATCACTTCAATGACTGAAAATAATATTAATCATCTCAAAGACTCAGCAAGCAAATGACTGGCACTAATGGAAAGTTTCTGTAAAGTGATAGGGTACAAGATCAACATACAAAAAAAAAAAAATCAATTACATTCCTTTACACTGAAAAGAGAACTCTGAAAAGAAAATCAGGAAAATAATACCATTTATAATTATGAGACAGAGTCATTTATATGGCACCTCTAGCCATAAACCCTTTGATAATATATTTATTATACATTTTGGCCTCTATACCTGTGGCAATAATCCAATTTTGTGAGGAGTTCTCTGCTATGCTACTGGACAAAGCAGGAAATCTCACACTTCTTGATCTGAAAACCTACCACCCAGGTTTGGTCGGCAAAGCACCCTGCAGCACAAGAGACACAGAAGCCAGACTTGAGGACCCGGAAGTAAATCTGGATCTCTGATAAAGGGTCCAAACTCACCAAATGAGGAAGAACCAGTCTCTAACAAATGGTGCTGGCCAAACTGGATAGCTCTTTTCAGAAAAGAAAAATGCGACCCATACCTCAAAGTGTACACAGGACAAGCTCAAGGAGGATCAAAGACCTAAATGTAAACTATAAATTCATCAAAGGTAAAGTAGGGATAAATGTAGGTTCCCTAAAACATGGTATTAATACACTATCAAATACAACTACACATACAGACAAATTAGGTGACTCATAAAAATCAGGCACTATATGCATCAAAATATTTAATCAGAAGAGTAAAAACAGAATCTCTGGTCTAGGGGTGGAAATGTGTAATGACATACTGGACTACGGTCTCTAAACCCAAACCAGACTCACTTATAGCAAGTCAATTCTGACTCACAGTAACACTGCAGGGCAGGGTAGAAATGCCTCTTTGGGTTTCGGTAAATTCAAAAAAATTTTACAGGAATAGAAAGCCTTGTCTTCCCCCAGCAGTGGTTCCAACCACAGACTCTGCAGTTAGAAGTCCAGTGTCTAATTCTCAATGCCACCAGGGCTCCTTGACAAATTCTTAAAATGTATAGAATGTTTCCACATCTCAACAACGAAAAGGCAAATAATCTGATTCTAAAAGGGACCCAAGATCCTGCATGGTTACTTCAACAAGAAGGCATTCAAGTGGCCAGCAAACAAAGACATGCTCAAGAGAACTCATTAGCAAACCCACTTCTCTTGAGTCGTTTCTGGATCACTGCTGCCCTATGGGTGAGGGAGAACTCCCCTGTGATATTTCGAGACTGTGCCTTTAGAGGAGCAAAAGAACCGTCTTTCTCCTGAGGAGCGGCTGCTGGTTTGTTTCTAACTACTGACGGTCTGCGAAGCCCAGCCCCTAATCGCTACATCTCCAGGGTGAGATTCTAACTGAAACAACCCCTGGAACCCAGCATTAGTACCAACCTGAAAGACCGAAATGCAGAAAACAGCAAATGCTAGTGAGGGTGAAGAGGAATTGAAACCCTCATGCACGGCTGGTGAGACTGTAAAATGGCACATCCATTGTGGAAAAGGGTATCCCACTTCCTGAAAACTCAGAAATAGAAATACTGTAGATATATCCCAGCAGTCTCTTTGCGTCATATCTATCCTACACAAACAAGAGACCTGCCATGAATAAACGTATTCATCACAGCACTAGTCATATGAGCAGAGATTGTAAAAGCTAGAAAGAATCCATGTGCCCATCAACAGAAGAATCAGTAAACAAACTATGGTACACACACACAATTAAATACTATGCAATGTTACAGAATAATGGTGAATCTGCAAAACACTTCACAGTGTGGATGAACCTGGAGGATAGTGTGTAGAGTAATTAGAACAAGAAGATAGATATTATATGAGACCAATATTACAAAAAGTCAAGAAAACTTTTTCACAAAAAGCATTCTTTGATGGCGGGGAGTGAGAGTGTGGCAGGAGGACGAAATCACGTCTCGATGTAGTGTGCTCATTGTGAGAGATATCACCTGCTTGGGCCCTAGAATGATCCAAAAGTGCTGCAAAAGTAAATACCTACACTTTATTCTGGATTATGGGCTATTGTAGAAATATTTTTAATTGCCAACAGGTTGCTGTGTAATTTTTTTTTCCTGAAAATTTGGGGATCTACAAACTAGGCGATGTGCACACACTAATTCAGGCTAAGGGGAAGGCATTAAGAGGGAGGTCAGCAAAGAGTGCTGAAGGCAAAGAAGAGCACCCAGGAAGAGTCAGAAGGGTAAAAGGCAACTGGGGCAATTATGATTATATTTAGGTGTCTTTATTAAAGCTCAATCTTGTAATAAAATAACATATGAATGGGTGCATAGATAAGCACACAGCTGAATAAGTGTGGGAAAGAGAATGGAGCTGCACTCATAAATATAGATGGGTTTGACATGTCATTTCTGCATATGTGTTTGCCTATGCTGAGAATCCATGAATATAGCACAGCAAGTAGGAACCAAATGATGAAAACTTCTTATCCACAGCCAAAGAGGCTAAGGCAATGGCTTGTTGGTCCTAAGGTCTCAGGACTATAGTCTAAGGGGACATCAAGTTCTTATAGTTTTGAAAGAAAAAATAGAAAGGGAAAAAATAGTTTGTGAGTAGTCATCTGAGGTGCAGCTATTGATATCTTCCATCAGAGGAGAGAATAATAAAGAACATTGAAGTCACATGGAAACAGTCCAATGGACTAAAAGCCCACACACTGCAGCCTCCATGACCCTGAGACCAGAAAAATTAAATACAGTCGTTGGGTACCATAGCTGATTAATCGGAAAGTAAAGACAGCTGAAGGCTTGGATAGAGTGGTGGTGGGGATTGGAATACAATTCAAAGTCATAAAGTACATCAGGCTACTTATTGGGGAGAGAATGGAGGAACATCCTGAGATGTAGTCATCCTTCAGGCTTGGGACTGAACTCACTTCGATGGCTCACTTTTCAGCCATGTAGTAGATGGGTTTATAAAGGAAATAATAGCACTAGCTAGAGTGTGCACTCTAGGATAGTCATCCATTTGAGGCCAAAGTGTAACACTTGCCCATGGACAAAGTTCAAAAGAGAGGAAAAAAACATTGGGAAAGGCAGGGATGATAATAAGAAACACAGGGAAGGAAAGTTGCTATATTAGAGGGATTTCAATTAATGACATGAAACAAAATATGTATTAATTATTAAATGGAAATTGATTTATTCTGTATTACTTCATTCAATTTATAATTAAAAAATTAAATGACTAAAATCACTTTGATCACTAAAATACAAGAATTTCATTGTGTTATACTTCTTTAACAGTAATATGCTATTCAGATATATTCTAAATTAAAACATATACATGAAAATCAGAGATAAGAATATAACTAGTTATCATTAATGCCTATTATGTAAAAAATACTTTTCTTTTTTTCATATCCATAGTTTTGTAGTAGGATATTTTTAAGATTTGACTACAAGGGAAAAGAAATGAAATATGTCAAAAATGGAGAGATATTTAAGGAATGATTTATGATATTTTTACCTTAGCTAAGTTACTCATGAAAACAATTAAGTTATAATTGAGTCTTTCTTGACATTTGAATACTTTGCTCACAGGTGCTCACTCCCCCATCCAAATACCCACCCCACACCCACATATTTTCTTCCTTTCTTCTAGAGCAAAAATAGAGCTGAGGGGAGATACATTTTGGTAATATTTTATTATTTTTTAAAAATCTAACTTTTCTACTTAATCAGCCAGAATCTATTTTTCTTTCATTTGATAAACTTAAGAACTCTGTAAGATGACGTTTTCCTTAGGAACCTACCACACATACTACAGACAGTTTATTTTTTGCTTCTGAAATAAATAACTCTAAGCTCGACGCTGAGCTTCCAAACGCTAGCGTACTCTACCTGCCACTATCCCGATGACGGGGATGAGAAGGGCGAACACGAGGATGTAAAGGGCAATCAGTGCCGTTTTGAAAGATTTCAGTTTCTCCTGAAGAGCAGGGCCGTTTTTCGGATCTGAGGGAAACAAAAGCCCAGCTGCTATTAGACATAAAATATTGGCTAGTGTATGTCTGGGTTCAGATAACATTTTTCAAGTCACTTAATATAATTTTGTTTCTTCAAACAGTCCAACTTTGACTGAACTATGGAGTGGATCCCTGGAATCCATCCTCTGGTTATATCCATAATAGTAACCTTTTAGTATTATGTATTAATATGGAACAATAGTTCACATCCTGAGATGCTCAATGTGGTAGAGGTAAATCAGTATAAATGATAAACTCAACAGATTAATAGACGATGAAGGCATTTCTCTCACTTAGCTCAGCTCGCTCTCCTCAGCTCAAATCACTATCAAGTTCATGCGGATTACTAGTGACCCAGTAGAGCAGTGGTTCTCAACCTTCCCACAGCCACTACCCTGTCATATAGTTCCTCATGTGGTGACCCCCAACCATAAAATAATTTTCATTGCTACTTCATAACTGTAATTTTGCTACTTTTATGAATTGGGTGACCCCTGTGAAAGGGTCATTTGATCCCCAAAGGGGTCACGACCCACATGTTGAGAACCACTGCTGGAGACCAGTGGAGAACTGCTCCTCTGGCTTTCCAAGAAACTTTACATGAGTAGAAAGCTTCATCCTTCCCCAGCTGGTGATTTTGAACTGCTGACCTTGCAGTTAGCAGCCCAAAACTTAGCCAACTATGCTAACAGGGATCCTGTTTTTTCCTAACGAGGTCAACCATCAAGAGTCCTGCTGGCATAGTGGTTACACGTTGGCTACCAATTGCATGGCCAGCAGTTCGTAACCACAGGTGGCTCTTCAGGAGAAAGGCAGAAGCGTTTCAGTCTCAGAATCCAACAGGGGCAGTTCTGTCATGGGCTATAGGGTCTCCACAAATGGGCATTGGCTTGCTGTGGGTTCTGTCCTTATTCCTTAAACAAGCATGTCCAGCAATAGAGGAATATTTCTTTTGTTTTCTTTTTGTAACCTGTACAAATATATGCTTTACCCCTATCACTTACACTTTTCAAATATTATTTCAAATATGATATAGGCTCATAGCCATCTCTGGCTAGGAAATTAGAGGATCCAATCTGTGAACCCATTTATTCCCCAGAAATGCTTATTTGATTCAAACTTATTTTTTTGTGTGTTTCAAGAAAGGATTATAACTATTTAACAGATAACTATCATTTTAAGATTCATAGTCATTAAAAATAAGCGTTAAGCTTATAATTTTATAGTTGTCAATAACTATAAGGACAGTCCCCAGAAGTAACTCCTCCCCCTCTACTTACTCTGCAGAAGGAAGGCTGTCATTGAATGAGCATCAAATTTCACAGATTCTGAGCAATTATCAGCTTCTTCCTGCCGATCAGGAAATCTATCCCACCGCCCCATATTCTATCAAGAAAAAAAACAAAAACAGGAAAATAAATGCTTTGAATTTTTTGGTATTATATTTCAATTGAAATTTATGATTAGTGTTCAATTATAAGCACAATGAATCAGTTAGATTTATACTTACATGTATGCCATTTGTAGTGAGGAGCCCTGAGAGCATAGTGGGTTAAGGGGGCCGCTAACCTCCAGGTCCCAGTGGCTCCATGAAAGACATACTTATGCCTGTAGAGCAGAGGTTCTCAACCTGTGGGTCGCGACCCCTTAGGGGGTTGAATGACCCTTTCATAGGGGTCACCTAAGACCATCGGAAAATACATAAATATTTCACGATATATAATTACATATTGTTTTGTGGTTAATCACTATGCTTTCATTGTTTAAATATGTTCGATTTGTAACAATGAAAATACATCCTGCATGTCAGATATTTGCATTATGATTCATAACAGTAGCAAAATGACAGTAATGAAGTAGCAAGGAAGATAATTTTATGGCTGGGGGGGTCAGCACATGAGGAACTGTATGGAAGGGTAGCGGCTTTAGGAAGGTGGAGACCCACGGCACAGAGGTTCATAGTGTTGCCACCACACTCTGTTGTCCCATAGGTAGGAATCTCGGGATGGCAGGGGGTTGGGTGTGGTTTGGTGATCATTGGTAGTTAGGAGCCCTGCTGTTGTAACAGCTAAGCACTGGGCTTCTAGACAAAAGCTCAAAGGTTTGAATTCACTAGCCTTTGTGAGAGAGAAATGGCCGTGAGATCTGCTTGCCCTAATGATTTCAACCTAGGAAAACCCATGGGGTGGTTTCCACTCGCTCACATAGGGCACCTATGATTGGAATCCACTTACTGGCAATCAAGGGTGTGTCTGTTTATTTTTTTAAGGAGTCAGAGTTAACTTGAAAGTACAACCACCACACAATGTTAAACTCACCCATAGTTTTCATTTTAACATTAAAAGACTCACTCATGTAGAACCTACTTAAGTATCTTTCTATATAGAGATACATATTTGCGTGTGATTTTTTCAGAAAAAGAGGAGAAAATAACTTTCCTCTTTTTCTTTAAAGCTAAAATTATTTCCCAAAGCAAGAGGAAACAACTATTTAGCTGGGGGAAAAGCTTTTAGAACAAATCATTACATAAAACTTGGTACAAATATCCTGTGGTCTTTTATCAAGGATTCTGGAATAAGTTTTTAAAAACAGATTCATGAGTTAGTTTGTGCTAGGCACAGTGTCTGTTTATTAATTTAGAAAGAAAAAAGCAAAGTCTCCTTACTGGAATAGGAGAAACAGGTCAAATTTAGGTTGCTTTCTTTTCTTATTTTTCTCAAAAATAAGAAATATTCTTATTCTGCAAAAGAAATATTCTTTCTTTGCAGAGCTTCTCATATTAAGCTACTTCTATTTCTAACATAACACAAAACTAAGGCTCATCCTTGGCCCCCTTCCACACTCATTCCCCCACCTGACATGCCCGGTTCCTTATCAAATTCCATGTAAAACCTGAGCGCTTTTCAATACCCTCCCCAACCCCCACTGCCACCCTCCCCAAAGTACCGCCGCATTATTGCCACCTAGCCTGTCTTCATAGCACTCTACCTGGTAGTGTTGGCTACCTAGTGGTGCTGTAATAGAATGACCCCAAGTGAGTGACTTTTTAAGGAATGGAAATTTAATTTTTTTACAGTTCAAGAGGCTTCAAGTTCAAACTTAGAACCTGGTTCTAGGGAAAGACCTCCCACTCTTTTTTTTTTTATTATTAATTTCATCTTCTACTAGCAGCCAGCAGCCCTTAGCGTTTCAGGACTTGTAGCTGCATCTATCTTTCTATCCCCCTGTGAGGGACTTCCACGTCTCTTCTGGTCTTTTTATACCTTGCAGCCCTTTTGGCATGAGTTACATTTGGCTGTTAATTGCGTGGTTGGTGGCTCAAACCCATCAGGCTCTTCTTGGGACAGAGATGGCCCTGCTATCTGCTTACAGTCACAGGAACGCTAAGGAGTTGTTCCACTCATCCGATCGGATGGCTATGTGTAGGAATTGACCTGGTGTGGGTTATGCATAAGAACGAATTAAGTGTCATATTTACTCCACGCAGGTATGTCATTAGCATACCACACAATCTCTGTTTTCAAATAGAATCATAGCCTGAGGTAAAAGAGCTAGGAATTCAACATATATTTGGAGTGGAGTGATGGGACCCACAACTTCCAGTCTGTAATACTGGTCTGCTTGCTTCACTTAGACTACGCTTTCTTCCCCCCACCACCCCCAGCTTCGTTCTCTTAGAAAGCAAGTGAGATCTTATGTCCTGTTCAAACCTAAGTTGTGTTTCCCATAGTTCCTAGTTCTACACTAAAACCTTACGCTTAGGGTAGCCTTTTGAAGGAGTTCTGTCAGCATAGTGTGTTAAGCATTGGACTGACTGCTAATGGGAACGTCACTGACCTTTGTTGAGCCTTGAGTTTAAATTTATAGCTACCCCTTTTCACTTCCTCTTCCCCTTCCTGGATTGATGTTTCTTCAAGAACCCCATCATCATCTAACAAAAAATACATTTCCTGACCAAAAAATTAACAAACCCTATACTAAAAGACAAAGTATTTTGCAAGATTACTGTATTTCATATCTGGGGTTATGCCTCAATAAAAGGCATTACATTTCATTCCTGTGGAAAATTTTACAGTTCTTCTACCCATTGAAAAATAAAATTATTTTCTTTTAATTATTTGAATCATGGTATTAGAACAAAAATATCAAAAATACTTTGGACTGCAAGGAGAACAAACAAATCTGTCTTGCAAGAAGTTCAGAATACTCCTTGGAAGCAAGGACACAGAGACGTGTCTCACATTCTCTGTGAGTAGCGCCCAGGGCCAGCACAGGACAGCGTGCTTGGTAGAGAGTCAGTGGAAAAGGGGAAGACCTTCAATGGAATGGACCGACACCACCCATCAGTGGACTCAAACCCAACGATTGTGAGCACGGTTCCACACAGCGAGCATGTCACTCTATGGCTGATAGGTCACTCTTAAGTCGGAGCCAACTTGAGGGCTCCTAACAACAACTCTCTGAAAACAGACACTTGGCCCCACCTTGCCTCAAAAGCCATCAGTGCTATCACAGTACTTCAGCTCTTGATTCTGATGATCAGAATTCCAATTTTTTATCATGTTGGAATAAACAAGCACTGTAAACTGTAAACAGTAGACACCATTTCAGTATACTTTTAGATAATATCTCCAAAGTTACAAGAAAAAGCAACTTGACATAAAGTTGAATTCCCTACACTATATCAATACACCGAGAAAGGACTATAAACTCTTTTGAATTTGGATTACCTATTAAAAGCACTTTATCAAAAGAAGTGAAACTCGTCACTGCAGTATCAGCCTTTTCTAAAAGTCGGTGACAGTTTATAGAACCTGCAATAAGAAAATTATGATGAAGGGACTTCGGTGTTAACTTGTTTAGAGCCAGCTCACTATTCTGCTGCTTTCCTTATTCAAGCACTGTGGAATTACGATGAGTCACTTGGAATGAAAGTTCTCATTCTATCACCCTGACACAAGAACAAGTATCTTCATTGTTTATATTAGATTCAAGTCTTTACACCTAATTATCACATGGTTGATCTAATAGTGCGCAACTTTGGCATTTTGCCTCAACTTGCACCCAAAAGATCTGGGCTGCCGCCTCCTGAAGGAGTGGACAGGGCTGCAGGATGCCTACCTGGAAACCCAAGACTTCCAGGGCTGTGAGGAAGGCTGCACAATGGTGCCGCATAACTGTTACGTCAACCAGCAGGAGCTGCAGCCATTCCCCTTTGGCATCCGAATCGACTACGTGCTGTACAAGGCAGTTTCTGGGGTCTGCGTCTCCTGCAAGACGCTCAAAACCACTACAGGCCATGACCCTCTCGGTGGCACCCCCCTCTCTGATCATGAGGCTCTCATGGCAACCCTGTGTGTGAGACACAGCCCCCCACAGGACAGCCCCAGCCTGGCCCGTGAAACAGCAGAGATGCCGCCATTGGTCACAGTGCTAAAGGAGGCCTCCATGGAGCTGGGCTTGGGTCTGGCTCAAGCTCACTGGTGGTTGGCCTTCGCCAGCTGTGTGGTTGGCGGGGGACTTCTGTTCCTGGTGTTGCTGTGTGCACTGGTGGCTGGTGGGGACAGCGGACAAGTGGCCTTGCTGCTTCTGGGCCTCAGTGTGGGCATGGTGCTGGGGGCAGGCGCCGTCTACCTCTTCCACATGCAAGAAGCCAAAGGCTTGTGGAAGACCCAAGCTGAGCTCCAGCATGTGCTGGGCAGGGCTTGGGATGCCCAGGACATGGGCTCTAGGCCTCGACCAGCCCAGCTCCTGAGGCAGCAGCTGGACAACAGAGCTGTAGAACAATAAAGCTTGATGGTATTTCGTGCCTCTACCCTGGTTTTTGGAGGGGCAGTGACGGGCCAGGAGTCAGAGTGACTGCCCCAATATAGGCCACGAGGCTCCTACATATCATCTGCCCTTCTCAAAAAAATCCTCACTGCCATGACCTGGTCAAAGAAAGCA